AGAAAGATTTTTATCTAAAATGATCGAAATACCTAAAGAATGGCAAAACAGAACGTAGCCATGTTTAGTATCAAAATGAAGCCTAAAATAATGGCTTGCGGGGGGACTGGGTTTCATGCTCGAAGGAGCTATGGGCAGTAAAAAAATAGAAGAGCGAGAGAGACTGTCTGAAAATTTTGCCCGGACTTGTTAAGCAGGTCTATGTCTTACCATATCTCCAATTTTCGCATTCGTTGTTGTTCCTCCATTAAGTGAATTGAGATGAAGGGAATATTCACAATGCGGAGAATCACTTGATGAAAGAAGTTCTTTCGAGAAAACATCCCTAAAATAAAAACAATGTTCTTGTAAACCGTTTTTTAATAATATCTCCTTTAAAAATTCGAACTTTGCATCATAAAACGCATCAAGACTGAGAATATTTTGATTTGAATGAACGCATTTCAAATCGAAAATTCGATCATCTTCGGTTAAACGAGAGAAATCGAAAGAAACAATCACTCGGAGATCATAGACAATTGTCGATTGAGGGGAATTCTGAAAAAAAAACTTTCTCTTTCTCTTTTACCTTCTCTTGATAAAAAATTACAATTTGCGTTCTTCTCACTCCACATTTTGTATCATTTAAACCCAATGTTAATCGAGCCGATGTTGCCTAGAAATAGAAATTTGTATGAAATTTTAGGTTCTTCTCGGAAATCTACCGTAAATACTGTAATAGTACCCCACCGCCCTCGTAGAGTCGCGTAGTCGCAAAAGTTTTTTAGTATTTCATTTTTTTCAAAGCACCCGTACTTTCAAAAATGCGTCTTTGGTATCTAAAAATAGCTGAAATCCAGGGCTATTTTTTGATACCTGCGCACGCATTGTAGCATAAACCAGTGTCGAGAAAAACTCGTTCAAAGCTAGACTACGCAACACTCCGCACCGTCATTATGGGGGTGGGGTACTATTACAGTATTTACGGTAGGTCTTTCCATTGTGAAAAACTATCATATGCAAAACCCAAAGCCAATTCGATTCTCTTGAGACTTTTCTTGCGACAAAGGGTTCAAATAAACTTTGCCAATAGATTTGAGATAGACTTTGCCAATGGATCCTGAAAACCCCGGGGCATAAATTTTAAACACAAAATCTTTGAGAACATTTACAGCACAAAAGAAAAATCACTGTGTAAATGACTGCCGAGGTGTTCTCTGTGCGGTCGCGTAATCGCTCACGACCTGACCAAGCCCTCAGGTATAGAAGACCATCCTCGAATAGAAGACCGGGTCTAGGGGCCAATAGAAAAAAAAAATAGAAGACCGGTCTTCTATTCGAGTAAATACGGTATCATAGTTCCGGAGTACAGTAACTTTTTTCCAAGCGCACCTTTTAGAAAAGCTTTGGATAAATAAATCTCTTCACCCCATGAAAAAGCTTGGAGCATTCGGTGAAATCGTCTCGATGTGATGTGAAAATTCGACCAGAAAACGGCGAGCTCAGCACGATTCCGATATGATTTTTCCCGCAAATCGCTCGTGGTGAAGCTGAAATTGTTTATTTTTTAAAATATATTGGGTTGGTGAATTGAAAACTGCGGGCGATTGTCGTATGTGACAGTTTGAGCACTTTCTTCAAAAGAAACCCATTTTGGTGTCAATGGAAAAGTTGTAGAGAATCAAAAACCCAGCTTATATCCAAATTTTCAGAACGATTCAAAAACTGTCTTTCAAGAAATGCCAAATTTACGAATTTTCACAAGACTTGCATTTTAAGCGAAACTACTAAGTGTATCTTTTTGGAAATTTGGCTATAAGCCTAATTTTTGATTCTCTACAACTTTTCTATTGACACCAAAATGGGTTTCTTTTGAAGAAAGTGCTTAAACTGGACAAACTGGGACATCTCCAGTCCTCCATTTTTGAGTCTCACACCTGTCTCACACACAAACCAAAATCCTACTACGAAAGAGGAATCCGCAAATTGCCTGTAAAATGGGCAGAAGTCGTCAATAATAATGGAAATTATTTGGAATGAATTCATGGTTTTATGTTGAATAAATTTTAGTTCAAAGTCCGGCAGTTTTCAATTCACCAACCCAATAATTTATTTTTCTTTAGCGTTTAAAACATTTTCTCACTCACCAAACACTGGTGGATTTCTTCGTTTAACGGGAGATCGTCGCACATCCAAAAAGCGACTTGTCGACAATTTGGCCGGATTCAATGGGACAATCGTTTCATGGAGAATATGCTCGGCTATTATTACCTAAAACCTTGAACTCCTTTAGCTTGAAGATTCATTTAATTAAAAGATAAACAAACCTTTACGATTATCGATAGAAATGTGATCAGATCGAGGGTTTTCATTTCATTTTCTCAAGAAATTATTTGCTTTGCTTTGCTTTAAAAGAATTGACTTCAAAAATTGATTTTCCTGTAATCATTTGTCAGTCGATATAATGTAAAGTAAATAAAATAAAATTTTACAAAATTTAAACGCCATTTAAAACTTTTGCCAATAAAAATGCCAACCTAAACATAGACCAATCAACTAATCTCTAATTTTTACTTCAAATCAAATTTTGTAAGTAAAAGAGTGGAAATTAACTATAGCTATTGCTCAAGAACAAGTTATTTTTAAAAAAAAAAGTTAGTTAGAAAGTTAGAAAGTTAGAAAGAAGAAACAAATCCTCCAAACTATTCAATATGATCCCATTTCGTCAAAAAGAGCCTTTCATAATTGTTAGCCCTGGATATTTCTTTCTTTTCTCTTTTTGTTCTCAAATCGTTTCATCCTTAAACGGTTGGTAAGCAATAAAAGAAAAGAAAACTGTGACAAAAGAAAGAAGAAAAAAAGGGAAAGACGAAGGATTCTTTCAAAAAAATGTCCTACTTTTAGAAAGGAATTCGAGGAAAAATTATTCTTTGAAATTTGTCAAGTAAAAGGTCTGAAGAGAATTAACCGTTGACCGTAAGATTTTCAAAAAGTGTATTAAAACCTCTTGATTATCTTCTACAAAAGTTTTTTCAGCTGAATATTCATAAGTGACTAATTTCCTTTTCCCCAGAGCTACTGTTGAATGAACAAATATTTGCACTAATTTTTTAAAAGAACTAGATTTTTTGACCACACAAAACACTATTTTGGCACTAGTAACTGGTTTTGAATGAAAAGAATAAGATGAGAAAAAGTCTTAAATAAACTGGCAAAAGGGGGACATGTTTTGGATAAAAACATCAAGAAATCGTAGATTTTAGATGTTCAACGTCTAGTCGAAGCAATAAACTCTAATCTAGATGAAGAATGTGTTTTAAAACAAACTTCGAGATCCGTTTTGTTCCTTCTCTTCATCCGTTCCCCTTTTTACAACAATGAATGACAAAGAACGGGTAAACGGATTAAAAGAAATCGGGTCATTTTTCAAAGACAAGGTCAAAGAAATTTGCATTTACGAACTGACCCGTTCACATAAGAAAAGGATATTCAGATATGGAGGGGGTTTAAGGCAAGAGAAATATTCTAACAATGAGGTTCAAACTTTCAAATCGAATCAACTGACTGACTGAACCAATCGGATAGTATAAGTCAAAGAAATAAGACAATTATAAATAATACAGTTAGGTTCCAAATATAAAACGACAAAATATTAACAATAATCATTTTTACTACGGGTGTTTTCAAAAGTTGTTTATGCTTGTGCCAGAGAGCAAGCGTTTGTGTCGGAGCACAAAGTACGCGTCAACTTGCTAAACTGCTTTTTTCCGTCGCGTATCATTTGTGCCAAATTTGCGCTTTTCAACACACTTCCCTAGCAACTCTGATTGACCATTTATATTTTTTTTCAGTTTTTCTTTGTCGACGATGTTCGCTACTTTGACGCCCGCACTGGCTTTGAAAATGGCATAAGATCGATATAGAGAGTAAAAAGCTCAATCTGGGACGCAAAAATGACTGTCTTAGAGGTCTGTATAGGTATTTAAACGTGTTTTTTGGTTGAAAACAGTATGAATTGAAATTGTGAAGCAGAAAACTGAAAAAAACGTTGGCTATTAGTTGGGAAAAAGTGATTTGTTACAGTGATTTTCATAAGCGTGCAAATGAAATTGGCGCAAAAAACGCGGCACTTTTGCTACCGTATTACTTGTAATAGTAGCGCTCCCTTCCGTACAGTCGCGTAGTCTAACTTCTTGGTACTTTGTGGGTTGGGGGGGGGTGGGAGCATTTTTGTTTTTTATTATTTTTGCTTTTTTCATTTTTCTAGGGGTAATCCAGGGTGTTGAGCACGAATTTGACAGTTTTAGCATAGGTTTTCAACTGAAAAACCGACATTTCGACACGTTGAAAATTACCCTGTTAGGCGCGATTAAGGTTGGGGGCACTTTTTTTTCTTCAAAACCACTTTTTCTGGGGTAGTTTTATGTGTAGATTCCGAAAAATACAACGAGAGCTTGGAAAAATGCGTTTTAAGCCGAATTTCGGGGCTCCAAAGTGCGCGCTCACACAGTGTGATGAGAGTGACACACATAGGGAAGAGGTCCAAAAAATGGTCTCTCAAAACATTTTTTGAAACCAAAACATTTCTTCTGGCATAATTTAACCTACTGATTATGTTTCTGATCAAATTGGAGCAAAATAAAAAAAAAAATAAAAGAAGTCGCGTAGTCTAAATTTCTTTTAGAAAATAATTTTTTTTCTCAGCCCCTAGATTCTTCCCAACTACACTTTTGATACCAAAAAATACTAGATTTCTAGGGTTATCATTTGACACCCAAGCGCACACTGTAGCATAAAACAACGCGGCGAACGGAGCGTGTAAAGTTAGACTACGCGGCAATACCCCGTCATTATGGGGGGGCGCTACTATTACAGGTATTACGGTAACACATCGTTCTTTCTCACAGCAAACAAACATTTGTGCTTTCTCACACTGCGATTTCGCCACATTATCTTTATTGTTAACATTCTTTAAATGTTTTGTGCAATTATTTCTGTCCGATTCTATTTCATAGTTTAGGATGAATAATGAAGAACGAAGGCTCGAGCTCGAGCGAAAGAAGCAAAAGCTGGCCGAAATGAGGGAGTCGAAGTTGGGAATGTTTTTGTAATTTTGTTATTTTGTTATTTTAGAAGACGGCTAGATGAGGAAAGGCGAAGGTCGATGCTGCCACAAAATCTTCAACAAAATGGGAATGGTAAGATTTTTTTGTTGAATAGGGCTCATTGAGCGTTAAAAAACATTGAGTAAAGCATTTTTGCAGTTAATAATTGGTGGCTCTCAAGTAAGTTGACTACCTGACTAAACGATTTGTCGTTTGTTGTAATTGTTTCCTTATATCCGTAGATGAAAACGACTAAAATATCAACTCTTGGTTTTGGGAAGCATGACTATATTAAAATGTCAAAATGTCAAAAAAACCGAAATTTGTTGCCAGTAAATGATATTACACAGCTATGCTATTTGTATTTTAGGATCATCCGGTGAAAGGCCAACCCTATCAAGTCTGGAATTAGCAGAGATATTGGCTGATGTCGGAATTCCCGGTGAGCCCGACTCGTCAAACAAAAATGCTACCACGGAGCCAAAGCTACAGGTTAGGCTTTGTCGCGCATTTTTTTTTAAAAATTTTTGGTTTTAGGAGAATGGTGTTCCACAAAGCCATCTCTCACAAACCGTCACTTCATCGATGTCTCGTGTTGTCAATTTGGAGCTCACCGAGCCGAAGAGCATCATCGTGCCACAAAAAGACACGGTTAGTTTTCTCAAATAACTTTTTTTTACCTGTTTCATTTAGACAATCTATTGCAAGACAACTCAAACGGATGACGAAAGAGTATCGGCTGGCGAGTTTTTAATGGGAAGTCAAGAGTTTGCTTGGGAAGGAGAAGAGGATATGGACCATTCACGCAAGCCATACATAGATGACATGTGAGTTTTGTGTGCTCTTAACTGCAACATTAAAAGATTAGACTAAACAGAAACAATCAATGTTTTCGGTGTTTTTGGTCTATGCCATAAAAATAACTTCTATTACAGCCACTATCAGACACTCCATCGGTTAGATGGAGTGTGAGCTCCGGGTGAGCGCATTGCACGCATTGTTTCCCGTGACACTTTCAGTTTAGCAAGCACAGTGGCAATAAAGCACACTTTTAGCCAAATGCTCAAGCTGAGAAACAAAAGTAAAACCTAGATGTTCTCATTGCGATTATGCTTCTCCATATAAACATTATTTCTTACCATGTAACCCTTTATGTTCAGATCCTAACTTGAGATTGTGCAGCTGATGACTTTGAATTTAACAGAGTTCATTTTAGGTCTCTAACTGATGAAATCGAGCCGGGATTCAAGTTCAAACGTGGAACATCACATGAGGTATCAGCTTGTTGAGGATGTTGCTAACCATATATTTTTTAGGCTGAGAAGAAAGAAGTTGAAGAAGAGAAGCCAAAGCTTCCCGATTACTCTGAACAGGAAAAGCAACAGGTTATGAAGACCATTGGGTTCTTGGTTTGTTTTGTTTCCTTTTCACATACATTCGTTTTGTTTAGGAATTCTTTGATCAAGGCTCAAGAATGTTGGAACGAGCTTTGTCGGAGAAGGTTTTTTTTAAGAAGTTTCCTAATTAACATTGGTTTAGAGAGATTTCGATCAAAATCTTGTGAATGACCACTCTATGCACTACCAAACAAAAGAGGAGAAATTAGTGAGTTCATGGAAATATTTCTTCGGGCTTCAAGCTAAATAAATATTGCAAATTTTAGGAGTTTTCCCGTAGTTTTCAAGATACGAAATGGACCAATGGGCGTGAAGTATTAGCTATTACATTTTCCGAGAGAGTATGACATATTTTGCAAAATAATTTTTACAATAACTTTAGAATCCGGAGCTTTTTGCTGTTGGATATGGCGTCAATGCGGATAAGCCAGGCGATCCAACAGGAGTTGTAGCAGTTTTCAATACAAAATTCAAGAAGGAATCATCAGAGTATGTTTATATGATGTGTTTTAATACAGTGATGTTTAGCTACCTATTCCATACACCTACTCGGATCACATCTGTCGCGTTTGCTCATTTTCACGCCAATTTCATTCTTGCTGGCTGCTACACCGGCCAAATATGCATGTGGGACAACCGTGTAGTGAATAAACGGACCCCAATCAATCGAGTAAGCACTGATTTTGCTGTTAAAAAAAATTATTTTTGTTTAGTCCCAGCTATCGCCCAACGCGCATACACAACCAATTTTTGCTCTTCAGGTTGTGGGCAGCCACAATGCACATAATTTGGTATCTTATTTCTTTCGCTAAAAATGTAGTTTTTATTTGTAGGTTTCTATTTCAAGCGATGGGAAAATGTGCAGTTGGAATGTGGATAATCTGGCTCAACCCGTTGAAATCAAAGACTTGCTGTTGAAGAACGGAAGCAAGACGGTTTGTTAATTTGTTAACATACCTATTTGAAGTTTTAGATTTCCGTAGTTTCAATGTCATTTCCCCAAAATGAATTCAACACATTTGTTGTTGGAGCCGAAGATGGCCAGATCTACCTTGTGAGTCGTCATGGAACAACGACAAATCAAGCTATTGAGCAACAAGTGTTTGAAGGTAAAATTCATCAAACATATTTGGTCTAACTATCTTTTAGGTCATTCTGCTCCAATCTCTTCTGTCGCTTTCCATCGAACTCCTGGTAATGGACAGTACGACTTTTCGCATTTGTTCCTCTCCGCTTCTTGTGATTGGAGCATCAAATTATGGAGCATCAAGGTTATTTAAACGTTGGTTAAGGAACTTTAGTCGTTCTAGGATCCACTGCTGCGCTATTCTTTTGAAACACATTCGGAATATGTTTATGATGCTCAGTGGTCACCCACACACCCTGCTGTTTTTGCTACTGTTGATGCTGATGGAACTGTGAGTGGATTTATCGAACTAACTAAAATCAAGCGTGTTTAGTTATGTTTGTGGAATCTTAATGAGGACATTGAAGAACCCATTACACGACTCTCGCTTGAGAACGAAGGAAATGCATCACAAGGAAGGAAATTGGCGTTTTCACCAAATGGTTAGTTTAACAACTGGTTCCATATCATGAAATAACCTTAATTGTTCAGGACAATACATTGTAACGGGTGATGGTGTCGGAAATGTGCACATGTTTGAGCTCCATGAAAGCTTCTACAACAACGTTAAAAGCGATGAATGGAACAAACTTGCGAAGTAATTTTTAACGATTGATCTCAGTTTTATGTTTTAAAGCCTTTTACAATGATATTTTAGTGTCCTTGCCGACATGAAAGCCAGCCGCGAAGAAGCCGAAGAGTTGAACGAAGCGATGAAACTAGAGAATGGTTCACAAGCTTCAAGCGGGTCGGTCGGCCGTTCATCGCTCGATCGCGGGATCGCCTTTAAATTAAGTTAGTTTTTGTGTTTCAAAGTCATGATTCCTTGATTTTTGCTCCACTGTGTCATCTGCCCCCTTTAGCCTGCTGTTTTCTCTATCATGATTTTTTTTTACTTCCCCAATACGCGTATCATTTTATTTTAACGGAGATTTCTATTTATTATCTTGACCAATCATAATATAGTGGGTCTCGTGGGTTCTATAAATCTTTGCGCCTTTTTTGTCTGTAGTCACCTAAGTGCTTCAATACGTTTTCGGTTTTCAAAGACATCTAGATTTGAGCTTGATTTACGGTAGATTTAAATTCTATTGCTGCTTACAAGAAATCTAAATTGTGCAACTCTCCGATCTTTGTCAGTTCTTTGTGTTAAGTTCTTGTTTACAGTTTTCAATCTTTCAGGCGGAAAAAGAGCTGTTGGAGGTTGGCCCATTTTTGGTTGCTCACATTTTCCGAAACGGAAGTGCAAACAAAAATTCGGCCAAATTGACCAATTTTCTTGCCTCTATTCCCTTGAAAGAGTCCACAAATTTATTGATGTTGTAGGCGATTCTTTGTTTTATCTATTGTTTTAAAGTGGTATTTTTTAATAAATAAATGGTATATTTTTAAGGCCTGAGTGTGTTGCCTTTGCTGTTTGGGTTGAAAATACATGAGAATGGGATGCAAATCAAATATTTAACGCACAGTCAGTCAATAGACTCTCGATTGATCGGGCTTTGACGTGTGATATTTAAAATTTAAATTCAATTTAAATTTCAAGCGCTCTGTGTGAACTATTCATTTCGTTTATATTGAATTCAATAGGAAACGGCTGTGACACGTTGTGAATCGAGTTTGTGAAAAGAACTCGCAATGAGGTGGATTTAGGCTCAGAAATGTTGTTGACTTTGTTTCATGGCCTTTCCACACATACATTGATTCGCCTACATTGATTTAATTTTATCTCAGACATTCACAGAAAAAGTGGAACCTACCTAATTGAGTTTGTCATATGTGGCATAAAATCCACATTTGAGATTTTTCTCATTCTTTTTCCCAAACTAACCCGACTGACTAGTTGGGTTAGTCATTCAGAAAGCATTTCACTCGTGAATTCTCATGTGAAAGGGTCTCTTTTTGAGGATTTGAAACGAGACACTTCACCCATTGTTTGACCGGGATTAAGTTAGCCTGGTTTAGGCTTTTCTTTGGGAAATTTTACTAGAAAGTATGGGAATTTTCTTTACTTAGAGATTAACGAAAAAAAAACTTTTTGCGCGACGTGGATGTTTAACATTTTGTTCAGGTTTTGACTCGGCGGAAATTCTATGTAATGGCGGGCCATCAGAGTCATAATTTTATAGATCCCCTCGCTCTTTTGACGAATTATGTATTGGAGGGGGATAGCTTTTGATGTTTTTGGTTCGATCGTTTTTTTTCTTTTCGGCCGATCGTTTTTTTTTCCTTTTTGCCCCTCCCCGTTTTGCAATGACTTTCGATGGCATCGCCTTGTTCTTTAAATTGCGGTCTCCTCTCTTTTCTCCTCTTCTTTTTTGAGGAAGAGACTGCCTGTTGGGACATCTTCCTTCTCTTCCTCCCCATCCTTCTCCTTCTCATCCCATTCACTTTTCATTCACTTCCAATCTTTTCCACTCTCCTCCATATTTCTCTTCTTTTTTTGCCAGCTGGCCCCACGCGGTCCCCTCCGATCCTTTCACTCAATCAGCAGCGCAAAAATTTGAATTTGCCCCGATTTTTCATCAATACACTTTTTTGCGACCCCAGAAAATGATCGAATCTTTTAATCGTTTAAAAGCTTTTAAAAAAAGCCAACGCGACTTCCAGAATTTTCAATATTAGACGAGAGGACATCTTTTATCTAATATTCGCTTTTTTTACACAAATTCACCTAAATCCGGCTTCAGAACTTAAATTGAAAACCCAACTTCATTATCATCGTTCAATATGCAGTCATTTCACCTCTCTTCCAATCCCAAATGCGTCAAAAATTACCACTACTTCGGTGCCAAAAGTTTTGTGTTCTCTGTTCGACGATTCAATACGATTATCACAAACTCACATTTTTATTCTCTCAATTCCTCTTTTGCCTTTTGCTTTTTGAATAACTTTGAGCTTTTTCTCTCATGAAAACATGCACTATAATTTCTCTTTTCGAAAAGCTAAAGATTTGGGATGAGTCGTGAAAAACGGCTGTAATTTTATCGGGTCAAAATATTTTCCCCTCTTCTCTCGAAAGATGTGCCAGCTGATGACGAGTGAATCACGTTTCTTCACACTAATTGAGGAGGGTGGAGAAAAAAAAGGGGGGAAGATTGGGATAAATGAGAGTGTGCAAAAGGAGATCTGGGAAATATGAGAATGGAGTGAAGAAATGATGACGAGAAGAGTATTCAGAAGAAGAAAGAAATTATGAAAAAGAGACATTCAAAGGAATCCCCCTCACTCACTTCTTTTTTTCTTGGCCCCATCTCTTTTCTCGTTTTTTTTTTCACGCAAATCTCCCTTCTCACAATGCCATCCTTGAACCTCAAATTAGCTTTCTTTGGTCTCCCCCCACGAGATTTCCATTTCGGCTCCACACACAAAAAGATTAGCACGACTTGTTTCGATTCTTTTTCGATTAGGAAATGTGCTCGTTGTTCTCTAAAAGTTCGAACTTGAAATTGAAACGCGTTACCCAAAATTTGTTTCAACAAATTACCTTTAATCTTTAAAAAAAATATTCCTACAAATTCAGGGATGGCTACTTTGCGCCAAATTTTTTACGCAACTTGCCATAACTTTCTTCTAAGTGGGCCAATCTTTATGATTTTGGTGTCATTTTTTAGATCTCAACAAGTGCAACAAAATGACGCCAAAGTCATAAAGATTGACCCATCTGGAAGAAAGTTATAGCGAGTTGCGCAAAAAATTTGGCGCAAAGTAGGCACCCGCCTTCAAATTCTTCTCTAATCTTTTCTCTCGAGAATATCAATTACATTTTCACATGCGTTTCCTTGCCTCTTTTATTTCCTTATTTATCGAGATAACTTCCTTTTTTTAATTTTCATCAATTTTAGATTGTTGAAGTGTCCTCGAAGAAAACTTTGCACAAGAGCTTCGCCTCTCATCTTTTTGCAAAAGAATTTCCAAGAAAGACAGGAAATTCTTCTAACAGGCAAGTGTTTTCGGTTGTTTACATCAAAATTTAGTTTCATTGAGAAATCTTTCAAAAATGACATGCCTAACCACTGGAAAATAAAGAAAATTATTTTTGAAACAAAATATAATCTGAAGATCTCTAAACATTCTATAATCAATTTTGCAACGATAAGATTGGTAAGGGGAAATTGCTTTGAGAGATTTAAATGCCTTTATTCAGTAGCAAATGTCGAATAGACACTCAGAGGGACACTCTCTTTACCACTGGTGTTATCAATCATTGCCGATCCCTCAACTTTGTTTTGATCTTTTTCTCTCAATTTCCCTCCTTGTAAGACCTTCTCTTAATCAATCCGTCACTCTTTGAACTGTTCTGTCTGGCCGTCTGTCCTATTTTATTTACTTGGAATTCGAATCAAAATTATTCCTAAAAATTCTCGTTTCTTGACCACCTTCTTGTACAAGACTGGATTTTTTTACATTTTTGGTCCTACGCGGACCGTAAAAATCTAAAAATGGACTATGAAGAGGCAGGTTTTTAATGTAAATATGGCTTAAGCTAGGAATGCTCAAATATAACTTTTAGAATAAAAGGTTTATCGAAAGCAAAAACTCTGGAAGCTTCAAAATTAGAGCTACATTTCTTTTATATTTAGGAAAACGAACGAACACTTCTACTCGGGGAAAGTGGGGCGAGCGGCTCGGCATCGACAAACGGCAGACAAACCTACGGAATGGGCACCTCACCCACGGGCCCATTCCACGAGATGGGCTCGGGGGACCCGCCAACAAAAAATGAAGAATTTGATGAAGCAGTTGGAGGAGGAGCACATCATGCGGTTCTGCATTCAGGTAAATTGAAATACAAAATGTTATAATGCTATGAAAACACTTCTCATTTACGATACAATAGCTTGTTTTGATAACAAATTTTGTATTTAGGCGAAGAGGTTCTGAACATCTATGGCTATAAAACGACACCTCTTCAAACGGTAACCATTCTATTGTGCTGGGTGATTTATTGATTTTAGTTCCTCTTCTATTTTTTATCAATTTGTTCTTTGGGAATCTTTCGACTAATCTTGCACTGGAATCAAAAATGGTAAGATTTGGCGGAAAAAAAGGGCAATCTGAGGTTTACAGGTACATCTATGTTCGAGCTATTCGATGCTCTTTCAACGAGGCACAGTTTATTTTTGTTATGTAAGTGAATTAGCTTTTCAACTTATATAGTTTCGTATTTCACTTTGCACAAAAAATGTTTAGAGATGAGCATAATGTGATTGCATTTCGACCGGTAAAAGCGGTGACTCAATTCGGCGGAGAATTGATGTTGGTTTTGCCTGATGGACATGGTCATTATCGGGAAGGTTTTAGCTTTTGAGAGATTGTATCTATTTTAATTTTAGTTTCACATCTGCGTTACTTTGTCTTCCGTAAAATGTCCTTCGTTTGGCTCGAGGGCAGCGAAAAGTTTGCTCCAATCTCAGAACTCGACGAAAATGTATCTTTCATCCAAGTTTTGAAAAACTCTTTCTGATTTAGGTTTCACTCAGCACCTTCCACGATGCTTTGATTTCCGGGAAAGGATTGGATAGACACGAAGTAAATATTTTGCTGTAGTTTTTTAAAAGCTTAACTCTAGGTTGCTCAACGAATTGCTCTTTATGGCCAAAATCTAATCGAAGTGAAACTGAAACCAATACTGGTTCTGTTGTTCAAAGAAGCCATATCACCATTCTACATTTTTCAAGTTTTCAGGTTTTGTTTATTGAATAAGTTGTGTTCAATTTGATTTAGTGTCACGATTTGGTTCAGCGACAACTATCAATATTATGCATCAATCATTGTCGTTATGTCACTAACCTCAATTGCAATGGATGTATATCAGGTAAAAAGGAAAATTGAATTTTGAAAATGAATTATTCTAGACTCGATCACAAGAAAAGAAGCTACGTTCCATGGTTCATTCGAGCGATGAAGTGAGTTTTTGAAAAATGTGTTAATCTGTTTTTATGTGTTTTGGTTTTCAGGTTGATGTTTTGAGAAATGATGGGAATGTGATGAGGATCGATAGTTCGCAAGTAATAAACTATCAACTTTTTGGTGTAAATTTTATTTTCCTTAGTTGGTCCCTGGGGATATTTTGTTGATTCCACAACATGGAGGAGTGATGCAATGCGATGCCGTTTTGATGACAGGAACTGTTATTGTCAATGAGAGCATGCTAACAGGCGAAAGCGTTCCAATAACAAAAGTAATTTTTTTTGCTTACAAATGAAACTGCCATCCTTCGATCTTCTAACGTTACCATCAAATTTAGGTGGCTCTGGCCGGGAGTGATGATCACAAATCGACAAAAGAAACCCTTTTCGACATTGAAAAACATTCAAAGCACGTGCTATTCTGTGGAACGCAGGTATACAAAGATTCAAAATTTGTCACTGAAATTTTAGGTTTTACAAACGAGATATTATGGTGGGCAACACGTGCGAGCGATCGTTTTGAGAACGGCCTATTCGACGTTAAAAGGGCAACTTGTTCGGTATTGAAAGGCAACCGACTTGCCACATATTTCTATTTTAGATCAATCATGTATCCAAAGCCGGTCGATTTTCGATTCACCAAAGATCTTTTTAAGGTAAATTGATCACAATTTTCATTTAAAAATTTCTATTAGTTTGTTGGTTTCTTGGTGAGTGTGGCGCTTTGTGGCTTCTCGTACACGGTGTTCATCATGGTCCGAAGGGGCGAACCTTTCTTCAAAATCATCATTCGATCACTCGATATCATCACAATTGTTGTACCACCAGCTCTGCCAGGTTATTCCTCCAAACCAAACATTTTGCTTACTTTAGCTCTTTAGCTGCAATGTCGGTGGGAATCATCAATGCTCAATTGCGGTTGAAGAAAAAAGACATTTATTGTATTTCTCCATCAACAATCAATACATGTGGTAAGGGTATTATTTGTTCGCTACTCACAATGTCTGATTCATAGAATATTGTTATGTGTTCCTTTTACTAACAGATAAATTTCAGGTGCAATTAATGTGGTTTGCTTTGACAAAACGGGCACTCTCACAGAGGATGGACTTGATTTTCACACAATGCGACCCGTTCATCCTTCTTCCCAAGTAATCTATGTTTTATCAAATTTAGCATTTACCGTTGAAGCACTGAAATTAAAAAAAAATTTGTTAGTTTCAGACCCGAGCCGATTGTTCATTCGGTGATGAAACGTCAAGTATGGAGCCTGACGAGATGCCCAATGAAGCCGAAATTATCAAAGCTATAGCCACATGTCATTCACTTACAAGGTGAACAGTTTGTTTGAGATGCTTAAAAATTTATCAACTTTTTAAAATTTTAGCGAGGTTCTGAAAAATTACACAAGAGGGTAACAAATACGTTGTGTATCGTGTTAGTTGTGAAATTAGAGTTTTCTTGAAAATTTTGCATAACAAACACTTTAGGATCAACGGAATGCTACACGGTGACCCATTGGATCTGATTCTTTTCAACCAAACAAGATGGTCAATTGATGAGAGTTGTGGCTCGGAGAGGTAATTTTTTGAATTGTCTTGCCAGTGTTGTCTAACATGTCACTGTTTATATGTTTAGCATTCATGTTCAAAAAGACCCGACTTTTTCAGATGATGGGTGAGAAATTGCCTTCCAAATGCTCTCTTTTGATTTCGTTCTTTAAGTTAACCTTTTGTTTCTTTCTTTTGGACGTGTATAGCCTAATGATGGGCTTCTGCAAAAATGAAAGGCTGTTTTTTAGATCAGACGACGAGATTTCCCGTTTCGATACTGTGCAACCGACTGTGGTAAAACCACCACCAGAACATGCCCATTTTTTCAAGAGCACCGAATTTGGAATCATTCGACAATTTACTTTCAGGTATTTAATTTATTTGCCTCATTATATTATTTTTAGCTCTTCTTTGCAACGAATGTCTGTGATCATCAATAATCCACACGAGGAAACCGGAAAAAGAATGGTTCTCTACTCAAAAGTGAGGGAATTCCCTGGCTTTTTTTAAAGATAGGATATTAAGGGGTCGCCTGAAATGATTCTTTCGTTGTGCGACAAGTCGACAATTCCAAGCGATTATTTGGACGTGGTCAATCAATATGCTCAACACGGATATCGTCTCATATCGGTAAATTTGGTGGTATTCGTTGATTTATAAAGTTTCAGGTTGCCAAACGAGAACTCAACCTCAGCTTTGCGAAAGCTCAAAAGGTGCAAAAGCTCAAAATTTTCTAAGCTGTTTACAAATTTATTTAGATTCCTCGTCAAACAGTTGAAATAAACCTTGAACTATTGGGATTGGTGGTGATGGAGAATCGAGTAAAGCCTGTGACACTTGGGGTGATCAACCAACTTAATCGGTTAGTTAAGGCTCAAAAATTAAAAGTTTTTAGTTAACCCATAAAAATTCTACCCATTTTAGTGCTCATATCCGAACGGTGATGGTTACTGGAGATAATCTACTCACAGCGATGAGTGTGGCCCGCGAATGTGGCATCATAAGGCCGAATAGAAAAGTTTCAAACCAAAGTTTACTTTATCGAAGTCATATTTTAGGCGTATCTCCTTGAACATACGGTTGGTCATATGACTCTCGATGGTCGAACACAGCTAACTGTTAAACAGGTAAATGATAGTATCTTGTCCATCTTCCTTCATAAATTCTATCGAAGCTCAATAGATGTACCAATCTCGTGCAAAATGGCATCAATTTCGTTGGGAGGTACCATTGGGGGCTTCCAAATTTTATTTTTAAACACATGAAAATATTTTAGTTTCCTTTGTTTGGGCAATTCGCTTTAGTTTGAATTAAAGCACTTGAGACTTTCGATACCTTTTATCTATTAATTCTCTTTTTTAGAGTGTCTCTTCATCGGAAGATATATTGGACGATCAATTGTCGACAATTTCTTCGATGCAAGAGCTTGCGCATGTTATTGAGAGCAGCTATCAATTAAGCATTGCCGGTATTATTAGCCTTTCGAGTGAATTTACCGCTATCGATTTATTTTTAGGTCCAACCTTCTCGGTGATTGTGCACGAATATCCTGAAATGCTTGACAATTTGATGAGCGTGTAAGTTAGCTTTCAGACTTTTGTTTCAGACTGCTCAGATTCAATTTTCTGTTTTGTATATTTGTTCATTTTTAGCTGCGATGTGTTTGCTCGAATGGCTCCAGATCAGAAACAAATGCTTGTTAATCATCTTCAATCTCTCGATTATACGGTTGCGATGTGTGGTGATGGAGCTAACGATTGTGCTGCTTTAAAAGTAAGCTAGCCAATACCATAAAGAAATTTTATCATTTCGATTCAGGCTGCGCATGCGGGAATTTCTTTATCTGACACGGAAGCTTCTATTGCGGCGCCATTCACCTCAAAGGTAGTGATGAAGTTGTGAAAGACCTTCAAGTAAAAATCTAGGTTGCTGATATTCGCTGTGTTCCCACGGTGATTCGAGAAGGTAGAGCAGCTCTCGTTACATCATTTGGCGTCTTCAAATATATGGCTGGGTATTCACTGCTACAAGTTTGCAGCACCACCATCAATAACCTTTTTTCTTTTTTTAGTTTACAACAATCCTTCATCTTTATTGGTTGGCAACGAATTTGACGGATTTCCAGTTTCTCTACATTGACATGTTTCTTATTACTTTCGTGGCAGTGTTCTTTGGAAACACGGCAGCTTGTAAGTCTTTGATACAAGAATAGCATTAAAAGCTGTATTCGACCACTTTGTTGGTCGAACTTCCTTGGTTCTTAAATGTTATATTTTCCTTTTATGTGTGTTTCAGTTGTGCCATTATTGAAGTTATTGAATTAGATTAGGTAGAACCACATATAGTTTGCTTGTTTTGCTTTTTATAAGCTGATAAATTTTAGATACATCTTCTTTTTCCTCAATTCCTCCACCGACACGTCTTTTATCGCTCGGATCTGTGGTTTCTGTTCTTGGGCAGTTGTTTATTATGGGTGCATTTCAGGTAAAGCATTAATTTTGCTTTATCCTCAAAATAATTTTCTAGTTGTATACTTTCTGGTGGACTTCGACTCAACCTTGGTTTCATCCCTATTCGGCGCCCAAAGGTGGTGATCCGGAAAATAAACGAAGCATGCAGGTAAATAGCTTGGGCTTTTTCAAATGCCTTCTTGTTTAGGGTACGGCACTATTTGGAGTTTCTGTTTTCCAATACATCACTTTGGCGATAATCTATAGCAAAGGTAAGACAGTTCTTTCTTTTTTTCCATATCAGAGTTTAGGTCCACCATATCGAAAGACGATTTTGAGCAATCAACCACTCTGTATATCGTTGATTATTGTACTACTGGTAATTTTTAGATAAATCTATACTTTACTCAATTGATATACGAGCAAGCTTCTTCATAAATATAACTTTTTTTCAGGTATCCCTAATGGTTGTGATTTATCCGCCGGATTTTGTGATACGTTTCCTTGAGTATGACCCCATTCCCTATGTCGAGAGTCGCTTCTTTTTGGTTGTTTTGGGTAAGATTTTTCAAAACTTTTCGCATAAAGTTACCTTTAGGCTTTTTGTGTGCATCGCTTTCGTATCTTTTCAATCGCTTTGTCGTCGAGTATCTCATCTATAACAAGAGAGCAAAGTAAGTGAAATTGTTTTATTCATATGTTTTTTTCTTTTTAGAATGATCAAACGGAGAAAGCTTCGTGATCCATCGGCAAAATCGGTGAAATGGGAAAGGATTCTGGCAAGGTATTTTGGCATTGATTTCCGTAGTAAAACTCATTTTTAGCATTGGCTATGATATCACTTGGCTAAAGAAAATGGCAAAAGTTGTGCAAATTCGCGACAACAATATGCCGAAGAACAACTCGTTTGCGGTGAATGATGAAACGAAAGGCCTTTAAAGAGAAGAAAAATTTAATTTTTTTGGTATTTATGCTAGGGGTTATTCTTGATTTGATAAGCTCACTAAGCGAAATTTATCAAAAGTTTAATGTTAAACTAAAAGCTAATTTATCAGAAGTTATCTTTCTCTGCACGTTGCCTCCAATTATCCAAGTACTCCAATCGCTAGTAATTTTCGCTCATCTTTCTAAAGAACTAAAGCTTTCATTTTACAGTTGTGATTTATTCATTCTTTTACCGAGATTTTACCAGTCTTTACCAAGGTATAATGTGAAAGTCAAATTTGGTCGTGTTCCCACATTCGGGTCTTTTTACTCTCTTTGTCTGTTGAAATGTTCTATTAAATATAAATTAATGAAACTTCTACTCAATCTACTGGCAAAGCAACAGAGAAACAAACCGGTCTCCACGTGAAAACTGCGGTATTTCACGTCGTATTGTATTGATTTGGTCGCAGATTAAAAACCTTTTACCTTAATCAAAAAGTCATCCAACCTCTCTAAGTCATGAACTCAAAATTTTCAATGTGATTTTACTGCTTCCAATAAGTATTCATTTTTACTATTTTCGGTTGGTTCATAAACTTTTATTAATAAGGGACAAACAATAATCAACTCCAGAATATAAATATTGAGGTCAAAAAATACCCGAAACCATAAACCAAGCAAAAGCAGAAAAAATAGAAACAACAATTAATCACTTAACTATATTACATTGCTTTCTCCACTCTAAATTTCACTTGCTTTGAAGCCCTTATTTTCATAAGCGGCCTCTTCCAATTCGTAATTATTATTTGCATTTCCTTTTGTTTCGACATCTTTTTTCGGTGAAATTCCATCATGAATACCTAAAATGATTAACAAATAGCAGTAAAATGCAAAAAATCTTACCAATTTCAACGCGGAATATTGCTTGATCTCTTAATACTGTAGTCGCAGCAATTATAAAGAACAATGCCTAAATTGAAACAGTTTTGATTGTTATTATTATAACAACTCACCGAAACTCCACAAAGTGCAGAAGGAATATAAAAAGCGTATAACAAAGCATCAAATGAATCTCCTGGAGAGTCGCTCAATCTCATTCGATCAGAAAGCTAAACAAACACACGAAATTTTAGCAGATAAAGTATGCATTACCAATCCAACGAGATATGGTCCAGATGCATCACCGAACAAATGTGAAATCAGAATTTGCCATGCATTTGCTGAATTACGTCTAAAGTATTGAGTGTAATCTAAAATTCATATGAACGAACCTCCATGGAACAATAATCGTCATTTGCAGATCGACATTGATGGCCCAATTGAAGCAAAGTCCGGTAATAGCAACGAACATGAAGGCCTAAATTAGAATAAAGAAACAAAGCAACGTGAGATTTGAATTGTTTCGGGGAAATTTTGGATTGTTTGTTTGTCGACAAACCCGTTCACAAATGCAGCGCCCATCTACAATGGAAAAAGGTGAGAAATTTGGAAATCCCACTTAATGATTTTCTTTTAGATTGTCGAGGAGAAGAAAAAGGAGAAGGTGGTCGAGACAAAAACGCTAAAAGAAGTTTGTGATTCCATGACTTCTTAAAAACGGTTGTTTGAGGAGAACAAGGGATCGGAAAAGAAAGGAAAAGAAGTGAAATCGGAACGATAACGGAAGAAGAGATCGCTGAAGGACGAACAACAAAAACCCGACATAAAACCAAGAGCTTTTCCTGCAACTAGAAAAGAATTTTCGCATGGATAATCGATAAAATTTAATCTGCTTGATTTAGAAATAAATTGTGGTGTTTTTAAGAACAGACACGATTACCCAACAGTTGATGATATTCTTCCGGATTGGGACGAAGAGGATGAAAAAGTAAATTTTTGATGTGGATTTTGTTTAATTGGTTTTAGGAAGAGCAAAGGAACAAAAAAGACCGGGAAAAGCGGAAAAGCAGGAAAAGAAAGATCAAGAAAAGAAAAAAAGGCTGAAACGAAAGGAGTAAAAAAGGTTGGCTTAAATATAAAAGTGGCTAGTTTGATTGGACATTTTAGGAAAAAATTGCCTTCAAACAGCGAGTCGAAGGAAGCAAAGGAGGATGAGGACAAAGAATCGAAGAAGGAGATGAACTGAATGGGGATTATGGCTGCTTCATTGTGAAATAAGTATTTCGTTGATCGAATTATTAACTTATTAACGGAAAATAAACATACGTAGCTAGCCTCGACTGACACTTTGATTAGATGTAATCCACCAAAAAGAAATGGAGTTGCGATCAGCGCTCCAAGAGCACAAATAATTGGATCGGATCGTTTTGTTTGACAACATTTGAAGCACAACTTTCCACTACGCAGCAACTAGAAATTATTTGAGATGTGAACATTAAAAGCAAGATGTCATACCGTTGACAAAGCGGAACCCATAATTACTCCAACGATTCCACCAGCAATTGTGACGATTCCAAAGTAGATAGCAATACTAAAGTTATTGATTATTTGATTGGAATTCTTGTATACTAACTTCCCTTTATCCTTTTCATCCAGAAGACTTGTAGAATTGAGCTTCATTTCGTGAGCTTTGGCATGTTGAATTGCTGTAGGAACCCACCTGAAAATAAAAAGAAATACGGTTGAATCATTCAGAATCTTACCATGAAAGTGTGCCAGTCACAAAAACAATGCATGTGTAGGCAATTGTCGAGAAAATGTAGGTGTAACTAAAATTTACGACTTTCTTTTGACAAAGAGGTTTTAAATCTTACTTTTTCATGAGGGCCCATAGATCACAAAAGTACGTCTTGATTTTTACCTTCAAAGATGCATTCTTCATGTCTTCTTTGCGTGTAGAATTCTAAAATTAACAAGATCAATAGCAATGTCTTTAATTTACCGATGATTCATTAAGTCCTCGTTCTGGTTCAAATACAAATAATACAATCAGAATAACAGAAGCCACGCCTAAAATTAAAAATTAAATTGTACTGGAAGGATTAAACGCACCAAATAACGGTGTTAATCTCATTCCCCATTGCCATCCTCCCAGTTGTCTTGCCAATTGTGATCCAACCATGTAACCAATTCCACTGAAGCGCACAATATTTTACTTGCTTTATTCAAATGCATCAAACCTTCCAAATGGGATCGCCATATAGAACAACATCAACATCCACGAACGAGCTTTTCCAACGTACATATCACCAATAATTGTAGGAGAAACGACCGCATACGAGGCTTCACCGATTCCGACAACACCTCGCAGAAGGAGAAACAGCCAAAAGTACTAAATAAACGTTGCTACCTATTGCAAGTTAATTCAATTTACCTCTTTAGCCACAAATGTTGATGCGAACACAGCAAGAACCCATACTAATATTCCGACGACCATAATCCATTTACGTGTGTATCTAAAAGAAACTTTCAGCTGAAGAACTATCCATTTTATACTTACCTATCTCCTAAGTATCCAAATATTGGACTGAACAACATGAAAGAGACGATAAAAACCGTTTGAAGCAATCCTCCATCACCATTGTCGATTTTATAAAAGCGTTGAATGTCGGTGAGAACACCTGAAATTATACCAATTGTATTTTGTATTAGTCTAGAAAGAAATGGCTTTCATCCAAGTTTTACATTTTTATATTACATTTAGATCAAATTTTAATATAGAATCAAAAATGTTCAAGCTTTTTTCATGCATGTTTACGACTAAAAAAGACTAAAAAGCACCTGCAATTGTATATCGATCAGCATAGTTGAGTAGATTGATGAAGAAGAGAATCAACACAGCAATCAGCTTCTGGCATTTCGAATGACGAGGTGGATCATCCATTGATCTGAAGGAATATGCAATGAAATTAAAGAGTCGAATGGAATAAAACAAATAAAGAATGAGCGAAAATAGAGAAAAGGTGTCAAATATGCGACTTTGTAACAGTTTTCTAAGAGAACGAAAAAGGAAAAAGAGGGGGAAAGGAATTGTAGTTGTATTGGGAATTGGAGAATTTGTGTGAAATTTTGATAGCTGATTGAAAAATGCGTTAAGAGTTTCTATTCTAAAATGAATAATGAAAAGCAAAGGGATAATGACAGACTTTAAACAACAAAATGTTCAATTTCTACGAGGAACTCAAGCAATACAGTGCTTGTAGTGAAATACAACAGTTAGGTAGATATCTCTCCCTATGTTCAGCACAAATCCTCTATCCGCATGAACAAAAAGAGTTGGAGGGATCGAGGGTAAACATTTCACTCACAAAAGGAGTGATCATTCCTTTGCAAAGGTTTTTGCACCAAAATCCTTTGCGCCACGCTTCATTTGCGCCAAATTTACGCTTATGAAAATCCCTGTAACAAATCACTTTTTCCCAAACGTCTAACCAACTCTTTTTCAGTTTTCTGCTTCACAATTTTAGTTCTCACGGTTTCCAATTAGAAAACACGTTTAAATCCTAAGCCTATACAGACCCCAAAAACAGGCATTTTTGCGTCACAGATCGAGCTTTTTACTCTCTATATCGATATTATGCCATTTTTAGAACTGGTGAAGGCGGCAAAATAGCGAGCATCGTCGGCAAGGAAAAACCGGAAAGAAAACAAATTTTCGACCAGAGTTGATAGGAAAGTGCGTTGAAAAGCACAAATTTGGCGCAAATGATACGTGACGCAAAAATTTTTTGGGCAAATGAAACGTGGCGCCAATAATTTGGTGCTTTTACTAGCAGCCCAAGGTTTGGGTGTTTCTGACTCTGGAACGAAAGCGCTTTAATAGGCACTCTAAATAGTGATAGCCAATGTGAAAACTCATAATCTGTTTGCAGTAAAATTTGCTTTGGGTTTAGTTTTTATTTGGAAAGTGGTCATAATCTCAAAGTCGATAGACCGTCATCCTACAAATGGCCGTGAGTTTTTTCTTTTCAAAAAACAGTTATTTTGGTTTAGTGCTTCGCTCGTGGAACATGAAGCAAATAGCAGCGTAAAGTTAGTCAATTTTGTTAGCTGAATTATTTTTTTATCTAGGGCTATGGGGCAGGCTGGGAATCGAGCATTGGACAAGAACTAAAACTTTATTATTTCGTGCGGATCTCAAATAAATCTTTTGTCTGATTTTTCATATTATTTCACAGAGCAAAAGATCAAAGCGATCAAATAACTCAAATTCGATCGGCGAAAATTCGAGGATGGAGCAAGTCGTAAAGGTCGGTCCATCACAAAGAAAGAGAAGGACGAGAGACCGAAGAACCGAACCGCCGTAGAGAAGCCAAACAGCAAATTTTCAATCACTTCACACCGTTTTCGACTGAAAGAAAGGAATTGAATACCTACCAGTGACGGCACAAAACACTAATCGCGGGGTTTTTTGTCCTGGATAAGCCGATGGGTTAGATATTTTGTGAAATTGATTGCGTCCATTCCGGAAGTGCTTCTGTATCCCGCTATTTGATTTTTCTTTGTGTTCATCATGAGTTGGGAATTATTCTATGTATTCATTCTGTGTTTGGTCGAGATGGCGCTCTATATGGACAGATTGGCGGTGGCAAGTTCGTTTTAGAGTTCGGCATGAGTAAGGAGGAAATGGGGAAAAGGAAAAAGGTAACGAAAATACATTTGGAGTTCAGCTTACCTTTCTTGAACGGGTTCCAGTGCGAGCACTTTTGCCACGAGTTTGAGTGCTTTTAGACGTGAAGAGCTAAATGATCGTGAAGACGGCCAAATTTCGCGGAGTAGCAGATATCGGGACAGATTCTGCAGGTGAAGCGGTCTGCGTCATTTTTCTTGATGAACATCCTAGCAACGTAGAAGTTGCCTAAGAAAGAAAACATTTACATGTACGCATGTAATGTTCTAAGGTAGTTGGGGGGAGCACTTAAAATTTTCTCAAATGTAGTTTTTCTAGGGTAATTGATGGCGCTGATCACGAAAAAACATTTTTAGTTATCTTTTTAATTAAAAAAACTTATGTATTGGAGTAACTTTTTTGTTTTGAAAAACTTTGCATGTCCCTATATTTGCCTAAGCTTTGGCTCCGCACCTCAGAGGCACGTGACTCTCACAAGGGAACTGTTTGGACTCGGAATCGATCTGGGGTATGTGACCTATCTACAAAACGCCACCTTGACAAGTTAGGGGATACGTGTTTTTTATTTTTTATTTTCTGTATTTAAAATCTTTGTAAAAACGCATTTGAACTTTTGGTATTTTTTCGCATTTTTCGAAAAATCGGGTCCGAGGGGTTCAAAGGGACTTCTCGTGGCTGCGAGGGACCGACCGGACGGGGTAGTGGATTGTATCCTCGCCCTCGGCGCTTGTCAATCCTAGTTCAAGTCCGCGTGCGGCCGAAATTTTTTGCTTTTTTTTGCAAACTTTCACATTTTTATGATAATTTAAGTGTTGAGCAACATTCATTTAATGTATAGGACTTTAAAAATCATGAAAAATTTGCTTGTCAGAGTCCTTCGGATCCTCAGATTTAACACGTCTTTGGGAGGATTTATTTATCGAAAAATCATCATCAAATACTAACTCAAATTTTGAAAGGTTTTTATGTTTTATTTGAATATGCAAGAGAAAGAAAAACTACATTTGAGAAAATTTCAAGTGCTCCCACCAACTGCCCTAGTACCAAAACCTACTTTTGCCGCGTGGAGTGGTCCTGATGTTGCGTTCATAGTTCGGTTCATGTGTCCCATGTGGGCATTTGCAATGTTGTTGCTGTATCTTCGGCATCTAAATCAGAAACATCATATTTGCACCCAAAAAACGAAAAAAACAAAGAGGAAATGGTAAAATTACGCCCTAGGGGGTAGCCCCCTACCACAAAAATTACATAAAAGTCTGAAATTAGCCGCTATTGGAAGGTTTTTTGTTGATGGGCACGTGCGCAACATGCGCTTTTATGAGCGAAAAATAAAAAAAGCAAAATTTATGTTGAAATAAAAAAAATGATCAAAAACTGATAGGGGGCACTTGGGGGACACTTTTGTGGCCAAGGGGGGCACGGGGAGGTCACTCCAAATGTATAGTAACTGACAAAATTAAAAGCTATTCTGTTAGGAAATGGGGCACAAAATTGAAAACGACTGCAGTAGATTTCTGAATAGTTAATACACTTTGAAGAGTTTCGAATTTTAATTGTCCTCCCAGTTTTGACGTTTCGATTTTATTTTCAAATTTCTCCAATTCTTCACCAAAAATATTGTGAATCATGAAACGAATCATAACCACATTCTATTAAATAGCTTGCAATATAAATTTTCCCCAATGCTTCGTGAAACACTTAATTATTTTCAAGATAAAAATTACTAAATAGATTAAAAACTCTTTAGGTGTTCTAAAAAAACAAGACTACTATGATGTAAATGATTAGCAAGGCGGCTTGGTGCAAACTGTGTTGGCGAAACTCGAAAAACAAATGGCTGGGTTCAAGAGTGTAAAGTCTGATGAGAGTCTATGAAGCCAAATTTTCCGTGGACTTGGTTTTTTGAGCGGAAGTTACATTGGATCAGCGCTTGCAATTGGCAATGCACATCCGCGCGAAAATGTGTTTTCTATACGATTTTTACGTTTGAATAGCCAGTTGACGCAGAAAAATGTGCTGAATCCAAAAATAAAAGAATTTTTGAAATCCCTTCGACAAATTTTTTAAAAATCGAGTTTAGTGATTTTACCGTGTTAAATTTCAGCCATATTTTATTGTTGAAGCAAAATTTTGAAAGCAAAAGCCTAAAGCAAAAATGCAAACCGCAAGGTTTATTCTACGGGTTTTTCTCTCTCTTTTGATACTAAAAACATAAAAATTGATAAACCCTATGAAAAGTGATAACCTTTTGAAAATAAAAGTGTGGTTTCTGGGTTATGGCACACTATAACGCGGATAAATTACTGTAACCCGAAAGAGAAAAAGAGCAAAATTTTTTTAAAATCAAGTTTTTTCAATTCAATTCAAATTTCAAAACAAATTCAAATCAAATCAAATTTTTTTTGCTACAATCAAACCATTTTCATTATTTTTCTTCTTTTCAAGATGATGTGTCGATCTCTGCGGATTTAAGTTAGGTTGTTTTTTTATGAACTTTGCGTTTGAATGCGTTGCGTTTGAATTTTTCAGGCCTGGATAGGAATTAATCTCAGAAAGGAATGAGCGCACAGTTTGCAACGTTTATGTTAAACTTTTTGAAATAAAATTTTAAAGTTTAGTAAAATAACAACATTAAAAACAAGATCAATTAAAATGTCCCAGGTCAGATAATAAAACGTTTAGAGCGAATTTTTGTGCGGCATATTTTAGCACTTGTAGTTTTTCTTCACACTTTATTTTCTCGCAAATTTGCCCAAAAATTGAATGCATCGACTCCAAAACTTCTTCACCCATATTGGCTAAGCACTTGTTAGTTTTCAAAAACTCGGGTAGATGATGCAATCCAACATAAGCTTTTACTGAACGTGTACCAATATCGAGTTCTTCCATTTTTCCCAGCAGACTTTTGCATGTATCGCTTGTTGAGCTAATCTCTTTATCCGATAGTTTCGAATTTGTCACTGAGGAGATTTTGCAGAAATCATCAAAGGTTTCTAAGCATTCACATAGGCGTATACATCTTTGGGAAATCGTAATAGCTTGGAAGTCGAGCCTATGCGAACCTAACTTTTTCAACTCGAGTCCATTCAAATCTTCAGATTTAAAGGATTTCGAAAAGCCAAGGCGTAGAGCCAATTCTTCAAACGCGATTTTGCTAGCCATAACAAGACACTCGTTTGCTTCAAAAACCATGGCTTTATAAATTAAGTTGCCATAACCGATGGCCTCGAGATGATGCAGAATTGGCGGAACACATTTTTCAGGCTCGATTGGCCAGACGTATTGACGAATGGCGCCTTTCCTGCCTTCAAGATTGAATTGGTGAAAGGACTTTATGTTGATGTTCGGTAACATTATTGATTCGTTCTCACTGGTATTTTCTTCGGATTTTCCTGGCAAGTTAGAGCTTTTTCAAGAGTGTAGCTCGTTTGTTTTTGTGGATAATTCTCCGTGTAGCTTCAAGTTGTCGCATTTGTTTGATCACATTGTCGTCTTTTCTCAATGTGATGGCTTTCTCAAACTGTTCGTGAAAATTTCGAATTTGTTGGCTTGCCTTCCTACTTTTTTGCTTTGGCTTGGACATTATCTGGAAAAGAAATATTAGTTCATGTGATAAAAATAACGAAAATGGTTTGATTGTAGCAAAAAAATTTAATTTTGCTCTTTTTCTTTTTCGGGTTACGGTAATTTATCCCCGTTATACAGTGCGTTTCAAATTCTTAAGCGCACCCTCTAAAATAGCGAATTTTGCATTTTGAACACCGCTACAACTATTAATCTTTTTCTATTAGAAAGAGCATGGCTTAAAACCTAAAAACACGAAAAATAAGCATACTGTAAAAAGTAAAAATTTTCAAAATAAAAACTTTTTGGCAAATCAACCGTTTCAAACTCTTAAACGCACTATGAAAATATTTTTATTTATCGACACAAATTAACAATCAAAGGTAAAGAATCAAAACTAATAATCTGTACACGCACCAGAACTTGAAAAATGCGGTCTGGCATTGAATTGATGAGGTTTTGAAAAGCAAAGACGTCGAGATAGCTTTAGGCCAAACGGATCGCTGTTTTAGGTACAAATATACGTCTTGAAGCTGATGATGATTTTTGTAGGCAGCTTGGACAAGTATTCGGCATAAATTCCCTATCGGATTGACGTCAGGAGATCGAGCGGGTCAGTCCAAAGTTGCAATGTTGTTGTTGTTCAGCCAATCTCGGGTGTCTCCGACTCAATGAATTGACGCGTTGTCGTATTGAAACAAATTGGGAACGGTTGGATTTAGGAGCAAAAACGGCAACAAGCAATTGTTCAAGATCCGATTCGAAACCATCTTCAGAGCGACCGTTCCATCAGCCCAAAAGGCGGCCCAAACCATCACAGAACCACCGCCAAAGTTTCGAGTTCCAAACACCATCGGATCAAGTATAACTAGCCAGTCCCTGATTTAATCTCATAGTTAAAGATTTCCATTATTAAACATAAACTTTTAGGATATCGAACAATCCAATCCGATGAGAGGCTCCGTCGCCCAATTAAAAGTGCCGAAACGACTCCAAAGAGTCGCACCAATTGCCAAACTCAACATCAATAATAATGTCGGTTTTTGACTTTAATTCTGAAAGTTATAACTATTTAGGTTTTCCGTTCACCTCGCTATTTGATAGAACAACCAACCATTGACATTCCAGAGACGCCTGTCGTTGAAGTCGTAATAACTTTTTGCCTATACTGATTTGTCATTGACTGCCATTTTAGGAAGTTCCTACAGCTACAGCGCCATCAACTACAGTAAGTACTTTTATTTCATTTCTATTATTTTTCATATCTAGTATCAAACCGTAAACGAGAAGGCGCCGCTTCTAGAAGAGAATAAAACGCAGATGGACGAGAGATAAAAGAGAAAGAGGTGGTTCTAGTTTTCGGATTCGATTTCAATTTGAATTCAGGCACCAACGAATAACATTCATCATACAGGTAAAGAGGAAAACCACAGAGTAGTGGCTCAAAATGGACGACCAGCTAGATAGACAAGCCTCAAGTGGGTTTTTGTCTCTGGTAATTAGGTCTTTTTTTTTAGTTTATCTGGCAACTCCGACAATGACGTCAGTCAACTTGAACTTTGTTGAAGTTGGTATTCTTAATGTGTAACGAAGTAACTGCTTGTGAAGTAACTTTGTTTTGGTCAATATCTTGCTTAGAGTCTGAATTTCAGACTGCTTTCGCGGCTAACCAGGAATTGAGACGAGTACAAAGTCGGGCGCTGAGCCAAGATCGAGGGCCGAAGGAAGAGCAAGAACGATACCGATTGATGACACCCAGATCTGAATCCACTGAGGTTACTGCTCAAATCTCACTGAAATTTTAATTGATTGGAACCTTCACACCCAAAGTTTTGACTCATTTTATCAATTCACTTCCAGGAAGATCAGTTTTTAATTTCAACTTTTATTTCAATTTTTAATTTCATTAACTTTTTGATAGCTATTTGTTTTAGATTTTCTGGAGATGGGCGATCCACTTGAAAGAGAAGCAACGCACATCGGCGCGCTTTTCTTGGTGTGCAACGGTGAAAAGATGCTCGATCAGCGGCCGTTTGAATAGGAACATTTTGATGTGTGGAACATTCTTGGTTTTTTTGGTTCTAGTAACAAAATTTTTCTTATTTTACAGAGAGCTTGGAAGTTGTTTATGATAAGCTGTTTGAGCAAGACACGACTCTCTTCACGAACACCGTCGGAACGATTTTCAATTTGTTTCCCAATCCTGCTCATAAGCCAAAGTAAATCAGCTGCTGTTATTTTTTGGTTTAATGTCCAATTTTAGAGCGAAATCAGAGCTGAAACGAAACGTCCGTTGTACTACCATGATGACTTGTGAGTTTTAGTTGTGTTATTTGTTGGTTTTAAGCTACTTCGTTTGATGAGGTCAACCGTGAACCACACAAGGAACGTGCCGTTTTACAAGAGCAAGTCAAGGCTATTTGACGAGAAGTGCTTTCAAAGGGATAACTTTTCTGCACGTTTTTTAGTTGTGTAATACCCGAAATCATAAACAAAGCAAAAGCAGAAAAAAACAGAAACAACAATTAATCACTTAACTATATTACATTACTTTCTCCACTCGAAATCTCAGTTGTTTTAAAGGTCTTATTTTCATAAGTGGCCTCTTCCAATTCGTAATTATTATTTGCATTTCCTTTTGTTCCGACATCTTTTGCCGATGAAATTCCATCGTGAATACCTAAAATGATTAACAAATAGCAGTAAAATGAAAAAAATCATACCAATTTCAATGCGGAACCTTGCTTGATCTCTTAATACTGTAGTCGCAGCAATTATAAAGAACAATGCCTAAATTGAAACAACAGTTTTGATTGTCATTATTACAGTCCGTATCACATCATTTGGACCACCGCCTAACTACGTAGTTTCTTAATGCTTGATGGGAAGTTTTGTTCTTTTTTATGATTTTGCATGCCAAACAACGTATAAAAACCGAGGATTTGTTCTTGAGCAACAATTTTAAAACTCAAAAAGATAGGGAAATGACCGTATCACATCATCTGAACCATTAGATTTTTTCGTCTTTGTTGCTTTTTTTACTTAGTTTTCTTCTCTACCACTGTAATATTGAACTTTTTCAGGTAAACGGCACCTGGTGGATCGTTAACCGATTATCAAAAAGACCAAATTGATCTTCTACATAGTCAAGGAGTTTCCAATCGTGCTACAAAATTGCTACAAAAGTGAAATCTTCTCATCAAACGATTGCCAGATACTTTGAAAAACAATATGGAAAAAAGAACCGAAAAAACTGTCAGAAGAAGCTTTCTGATCGAGATGTCCGGCACATTGCTAACAGCATTCATGGAAAATTGGTTACACTCACTATTGGCGAAATTTAAGGAAAGATCCAATCTTTTTTGGAAAAAAGAAATTTCGGAGGAGGAAATGTCATGTGTTGGGCAACTTTCTGTGCCAATGGGTTGGTCGATTTGCGCTTTATCTCCAACTGAATGAGCAGCCAAGACTACGTCGATGTTTTGGATACAAGTTTGCTTCCATTTATGGCACAAAACCTCAAACAGCCTACAAATTTCAACAGGACAATGCGCCCATGGCGAATGGCCTCAATGTGATGGAATGGCCAAGCCGCTCGCCCCACCTCAAGCCGATCGAGAATTTGTCTTGGTTGGGTGTCTTAGTACGCGAAGTTGATGTGATACGGATTGTATAACAACTCACCGAAATTCCACAAAGTGCAGAAGGAATGTAAAAAGCCTGTAACAAAGCATCAAATGAATCTCCTGGAGAGTCGCTCAATCTTATTCGATCAGAAAGCTAAACAAACACAAGAAATTTTAGCAGATACAGTATGCATTACCAATCCAACGAGATATGGTCCAGGGATCAAACGTGAAATCAGCATTTCCCATGCATTTGCTGAATTACGTCTAAAGTATTAAGTGTAATCTAAAAAGAATATGAACGAACCTCCATGGAACAATAATCGTCATTCGTAGCTCGGCATTGATGGCCCAACTGAAGCAAAGTCCGATAATAACAACGAACATGAAGACCTAAACTAGAATAAAAATTTTAATATATGCTGAAATCCCAATTTCAAAGAACTAAATTTGAATTTAACTCGTCATATAAAAGGAAAAAAATATCCATGTCATCATTTCATAATTTCTTCTCGGCTCGGCGATTTAAAGGTTCGAATCAGATAAATTTTAAGCTTATTTTGCTTTTTTGTTTACTTTTACACTTAGTTACTTGTTTTATTCAAATTTTAGAGGCCATAACATTCAGTACAACATTCTTTCTTCTAACGGCACTTTTGATGTGAGGCAAGGCAAAGGTAATATTTGTGATGGGGATTTTAAAACTGAAGCTTGTTTTTAAGAAAGAAGCCAAGAAGTCAAGACATGGAGAAAACAATAGAAGAAACGGATGAGGATGATTCGAGTCTCCGACTTTTATCTGAAAAAGATCCTGTAACGCCGTAAATGGTCGTTTAAAAGTTTGATTTTGGAAGTGATTTTGATTTAAGACCCCGTCCTTCAGCGATTCCTTTCAAAATCTTGCCTACTCCTCCCGCAAAAATTGTTGTCACAAGGAATAAAGCAACAGAAGGCGTCACTGGAGCAGCAGCAACGTCAGATTTGATTTGTTTTGGGGAATTTTGGAATGTTTAGTTGCCGACAAACCCGTTCACAAAGGCAGCGCCGATCTACAATGGGAAAGGTGAGAAATTTGAAAGAAAGAAGATCAAAAGAAAAAAAAGGCTGAAACGAAAGAATGTAAAAACGTTGGCTTAAATATAAAAGTGGCTAGTTTGATTGAACATTTTAGGGTAAAATTGCCTTGAAACAGCGAGTCGAAGGAAGCAAAGGAGGATGAGGACAAAGAATCGAAGAAGGAGATGAACTGAATGGGGATTATGGCTGCTTCATTGTGAAATAAGTATTTCGTTGATCGAATTATTAACTTATTAACGGAAAATAAACATACGTAGCTAGCCACGACAGACACTTTGATTATATGTAATCCACCAAAAAGAAATGGAGTTGCGATGAGCGCTCCAAGGGTACAAATAATTGGATCGGATCGTTTTGTTTGACAACATTTGAAGCACAACTTTCCACTACGTAGCAACTAGAAATTATTTAAGGTGTGGCACTAAAAGCAAGATGCCATACCGTTGACAAAACTGAACCCATAATTATTCCAACGATTCCACCAGCAATTGTGACGATTCCAAAGTAGAGAGCAATACTAAAGTTATTGATTATTCGATTGAAATTGTTGTATACTAACTTCCCTTTATTCTTTTCATCCAGAAGACTTGTAGAATTGAGCTTCATTTCGTGAGCTTTGGCATGTTGAATTGCTGTAGGGACCCACCTTAAAATAAAAAAAATACGGTTGAATCATTCAGAAGGTTACCATGAAAGTGTGCCAGTCACAAAAACAATGCATGTATAGGCAATTGTCGAGAAAAGGTAGGTGCAACTAAAATTGAAGACTTTCTTTTGACAAAGAGGTTTTAAATCTTACTTTTTCATGAGAGCCCATAGATCACAAAAGTACGTCTTGATTTTTACCTTCAAAGATGCATTCTTCATGTCCTCTTTGCGTGTAGAATTCTAAAATTAACAAGATCAATAGCAATGTCTTTAATTTACCGATGATTCATTCAGTCCTCGTTCTGGTTCAAATACAAATAATACAATCAGAATGACAGAAGCTACGCCTAAAATTTAAAAATGAAATTGGATTGGAACAATTATAGATATTATATAAACGCACCAAATAACGGTATTACCCTCATTCCCCATTGCCACCCTCCAAGTTGTCTTGCCATTTGTGATCCAAAGATGTAACCAATTCCACTGAAGTGCACAATATTTTACTTGCATCATTCAAATGCATCAAACCTTCCAAATGAGCTGACCATATAGAACAACATTAACATCCATGAGCGCGCTTTTCCAATGTACATATCACCAATTATCGTAGGAGCAACGACCGTATATGAGGCTTCACCGATTCCGCAAACACTGCGCATAAGGAGAAACAGCCAAAAGTACTAAATAAACGTTGTTATCTATTGCGAGTTAATTCAATTTACCTCTTTAGCCACAAATGTTGATGCGAACACGGTCAGCACCCATACTAGTATTCCGACGACCATAATCCATTTACGTGTGTATCTAAAAGAAACTTTCAGCTGAAGAACTATTCATTTTATACTTACCTATCTCCTAAGTATCCAAAGATTGGACTGAACAACGTGCTAGATACGATAAGAACCGTTTGAAGTAATCCACCCTTACCATTGTCGATTTCATAAAAACTTTGAATGTCGGTGAGAAGAACTGAAATTATATCAATTGGATTTTGTATTAGTCTAAAAAGAAATAGAAAGAAAGAAATCCAAGTTGTACATTTTTATATCACATTTAGATCAAATTTTAATAAAGAAAATCGTTTAAACTTTTTCTATGCATGTTTACGAATCAAAAGCACCTGCAATGGTAGATCGATCAGCATATTTGAGTAGATTGATGAAGAATAGAATCAACACAACAATCAGCTTCTGACATTTCGAATGATGAGGCGGAGCATCCATCGATCTGAAGGAATATGCAATGAAATTAAAGAATCGAATGGAATAAAACAAATAAGGAATAAAGAACGAATAAAGTTTTTTGTTACGTTTTAACGGAATCAAGAAGCAGGCAACCACGGCAACAGTAAGCCCGAAAAGTAAGCCAAAATTTGCATGAAAACCCGTAAATTTACATTTAAAAGAGGAAATTAGCATTTAGCAGATATCTCTCCCTACGTTTAGCACAAATTCTCTATCCGCGCGAACACAAAGACTTGGAGAGATCGAGGGTAAACATTTCACTCACAAAAGGAGAGATCATTACTTTCAAAGGTTTGGGTGTTTCTGATTCTGGAATTAAATGCTTTAATAGGCACTCTAAATAGTGACAGCCTGTGTGAAAACTGTTAATCTGATAAAAAACTGATAAAAATTTGAGTGTGCAAACAGCACTCAAATTTGCATTTTAGTGGGTGCCATGAATCTGCATTTAATTTTTGCTAGATGACGCAAGATTGGAATCAAACCCCACATTTCGTATTCTTTATTCTATTCGGCTATGGTTGATTTTCTCTTTCTGTTACGCTTGCTGCCAATACTCGGAACAATCATTGTCGGTTTTTGCTCACTTTCACCATACTCATATTGTTTCTTTTTGTTACCGGATTTATCAACGTTAACTGTGAATATTTTAGTTTGCATGAGAACTAACAAAACCTCTACAAAGCCGATTGGCGGACAATTCGTCTCAAAATCTCGATCTGCACATAGAGGGGTCAAATTCTATTTTGCTTGAATTTCACGTGAAGGATGTTATTTGAACTAAGAACTTTGTATTTGTTAGTTCCTTTGTAATTTTAGAGTA